GGAGCTACCATAAAAGATGTGTCATATTTTTGTCTGGCTATTCCCAGTGCCTGGGGGTTATCTGCAGATAAGAGCAATCAGTTTCTACAGCCCAACCCACCAAAAAACTGTTCTGACATCACTTGCGGATATATCATAGATTATTCCCCTGGGGAAGGTTCAGGGGTGTTAGAGGTCAACTACTGTTAGGCCAAAATGATGACTCACCTGATTGCTAGTTTATCATGTTACCTGCTTATGATATTACCCACTGTCCATGTAACATGTTTGCTGTATGACATGTATCTCTTTTGAAAGGTCTGTAAAGTCCTATGACATATACCCATATTTACTCTCTCGGTCCTGACACAGGGACAAGGAAGGAAGCCCTGTGCCCTGTTGACTACCTGTCTTATTCTCCATAACCGCAAGGTTGTTCCTAAGGACCCGTTCGAGTGCTGGGGACCAGAACCCCTACATCCAATCTACCAGAACCCCTACATCCAATCTATCTTACTTCAACTTCTCTGAAAGCAGTCATTGTTATGAATTATTCCAATGAGGTGGAGAAGTTCTTTCTGATGAACAGATTTTAGAAATCTGTGGCAGCTTTTTATAAAACATGTGCAACTGTAAATTCTTAGCGAATGACTTTGATTTATGGAAAGACACAAACGTCATTGTGAAATACATCTGGTACATGGATAAAGCTAAACCAATTTCTTATTAAAAAAACTTTTTTGATAAGGTAATAAACTAATTTTCTCAAGAAGTACACACACACACACACACACCCTACTGTCGTTGAATCAATCCTGACCAGTGTACTGCACTTGCTTTGCAGCCATCAAGAGGCAACACGCACTTGAGTGAGAACGGCATCACCAAGCATTTCTACGTTGTGGTGAAGGCGCAGTTATCCTCTCAGCCTTGCTTTTACTGCACATGTCATTTTCAGTTTTATGTGCTATTTGGCATGATTTGCTAGGTTATTTTTGGGTCTGGAGTACTCACAAAAGTTTCTTCCAAATAAATTAATGGTAATTATTTCTTCACTTTATGCTGTTTTAGCTTAAGAAAGGTTTCATAGAAATGCTATAGTTCTAGATAGCAGGGGAGAGCTATAATCATAGTGAGAATATGCATCTCACTGCTCTCCAGCCTGTTGGGTAATGGTACTGAACAAGAACTCAGCACCTCCTCATATATATTATCTCACTTAATCGACCTAGAAACAATACAAGACAGAGATCCATCACTATTACATGGATAAGACCCTGGTTAAGAGAGAGAAATGAAGCCCAGATGAACAGAGATATAACAGATGAGCCTTGGAAGCATTATATTGTGTTAAGTAAGCTAATCATAAAGACATGTCGTATGATCGTATTCATAGGAAATAGCTAGAAGAGGCAAATGACTAGACATCAAGGCTCAGGCAGAACAAATATTCAATAATGGTTAACCTCAACTTACAGGACTGCTCTTAAAGGCCTAAACACCACATTGTGTGCTATACACCCCCACCAAAAAAAGACCAAACCTGTGGCCATTGAGTCCATTTGGATTCACGGAGACGCCATGTGTCTCAGAGCAGAACTGTTCTTCTCCAATCACTGAAGCTTTACAGCAAGTTCATGGAAATAGCGCCCCACATGAAAAAGGTTTCTGATGTATCAAGCATTTTGAGGAAGGTCAGAAAGACCTCAAAGATGAGACAAGAGAGATTATCAAGTTCAACGAGTAAAGAAACTGGCTGAAGTCCAGAACCTAGTGGAAGAAGTCTGTAGACTACTGATACAAGAGCTACTAAAATTGGGATCTCTCCTAGGTTCAGTATTTCCATTTTCAATGAAAATCTTGGCCTCAGCCAGCTTTCAGGCTCAGTGGGTGTCGACAGTGTTGCTGAAGATCTGCTACCTCAAAGAGTTGATCTTTCCCATCAGTCATTAAAGCAAGATCAAAGCTAATGAAGATCATTCTTATGAAATGAATCATAATTGGGAACAAACCTGATTTATAAATATGATCCAGAAAGCAAGGTCCAATAAAAACAATGGCTTCTGAGGGGATCTGCTGGGCCAGTGCTATCAAGGCAGAGAAGTCAGCTCAGAAGGTTACAGTGACCGCTAATGGATATGCCCCAGGGGTAACCTGGGTAGATTTTTGTGAAGGGTACAGGATGAACATGGGGACTTAGTAAGAAGTTTGGGGATTGTAATTTCAGGTCTGTCACTCTTGTTACATTGTGTACATTCAAAAGGATGAAAGAAAATATGTGATAATCATTTCCATTTAACTAATTTTTTACTTCTAGCAGGTAATTATAGGCAGCCATGCAGGGGGATCTCTGCTTCCTGTACCTCGACATGCAAAAGGTTCTCCTAATACTCCCCATTCAAACTGAAGAGGAAACTGAACTCTCTAATGCAGTAGTTCTCACCTTCCTAATGCCCCGACCCTTTAATACAGCTCCTCATGTTATGGTGACCACCCCCAAATCATAAAATTATTTTTATTGCTACTTCGTAACTGTAATTTTGCTACTGTTATAAATTGGGTGAATCCTGTGAAAGGATTGTTCAACCCACAAAGGCTCGCGACCCACACGTGGAGAGCTGCTGCTCTAATGAAACTGCTGTATTTATGAATATTAATGAATAAAAACTGCTTGGATGGTTCATCTTAAAAAAAATAGTGAGAATAAACTCAGGAAAATTGTGCTAAGGAATTTTTTCCCATCATTGTCCAAGGGGAATAAAGACTGTCCTTTACAAATTGTGTTGGGAAAGGAAATCTTACCCCTTCGACCCTTAGGCGTAATCTTGTCCCTTCAGACATCATTTTGCTCCCCAAACTCAAAAGAACATTTCAAAGGAGCACAATTTGGGTCCTCGAGAATGTCCAAACTGCCCTTTTACAATGGTGTAAATTAAAGTGCACAGACTTCTTCAGGGAAGGGTTAAAGAGATATATACATTGCCCTCAGAAATATATTGATCTAGACAGAAAAAAGGTTGAGAAATAATAGCGTCACACTTTGCTATTGTTTAATAAAGGTTTCTATAATTTTATATCAGTATTTTTTTTTACTTATTCTCATACACTATCAACTTAAAACTCACTGCCATAGAGTTGATTTGAACCCATAGCAACCCTCTGAGACAGGGCAGAGATGTCCTCTGGGTTTCTGACATTGTAACTCCTTCCGGGAGTAAAACAAAGCTTCATTTCTCTGTCAATGAGCAGCAGATGGTTTCAAACTGCTGACTTTGGCTTAGCAGCCCACAGCGCATTCATAGCATATACAAAAAGAAACAATATAAACATTTCAGACTATAAAATAATAGCACCCCCCAAAAAAACCCCACACAAATAAACAACAACAAAAAGTCCAGAAAAGGGAAGATCACACAAATTATATACTTTCCCATGCAGAAACTAATAGGTCAAGTTACCAGTGGTATTTTAAGAATGTTACAGTGTAATTATTAAAATGACACAGGTTAATATATAAACAGACATCAAGCCTCTTAAAATAAAATGAATATTTACAAGATTGTCTGTTTTGGTAAACATAAAAAAGTATTTTGGAACTAAATTTAATGGAGTGTGTAGAAATGCAGACGGCTTAAACCTATGTTAACAGAATATTTCTAAGAGCCCACTGACCCTCAATTCTTTCCATTCACACAGGTGCTTTGAATGTCATCTTTCACCTATCAGGACAAGGAGTCAATTCAAATGTCACTAACTTAGTAATTTTCCTTGAGTAAAGTGGTAAATGGAGTAGTATCATATGATACTCTCTTAAAGTATTATTAGTCTTCTAGAATAACAGTATCAGGAGCCCTGGTGGCATAGTGGTTACACATTAGGCTGCTAACTGAAGATCAGCAGTTTGAAACCACCAGCTGCTCCGTGGGAGAAAGAAGAGGCTTTCTAGTCCTATAAAGAGTTACAGCCGAAACCCACAAGAGCATTTCTACTCACTCCTATAGGGTCACTGTGAGTCAGACTGGACTGTGGCAGTGAGTTTGGCTTTGAGCAGAAAACACAGGGAGCTTAAAGCCCCAAGAAAAGTTAACAGTAATTGATTCATTCTGTGAAATAAACAGCAAGGATATGTTTCTATGCAAACACTGACAAGTCCACTTAGGAATGCCTAATTTCTGTAAAAAGAAGTTTGATGAAAGTTTTAAATAAACAGTTAAAGAGATTCTGTAGAGTTTCTACAAATGCCTACTATCCATATGATTCAGGTCTGCTAGCTAAAGGAGAGCAGAATGGCGAAATCATCCTTCGTTTCCACCTACAAAATGCGAAGAGCAAGGAAACATTCAGCAAGGACACTGAAAGAGGGACGATCAGTGCTGAAAGAGAATAAAATTCATCTATTTCTACCCCTATAAAACCATTCAGGGTAGAACAGCCACTATACCAAAAGCCTATTATTAAAAATATAATATAGTTATGTTAAAACAAACAAGTATGGGAATCTGATTTTCACTGCCAAATAATTGTTCAAGAAAAAAACAAAAACAAGCATGGGGCTGGGAGTAGAATAAGGAAGATTAAACTGGAGTTACAATTCATGTGACCAATCAAGCAGCATATCCTTATGAGAAACCAAATTTCCACTGATTAGTGAAAGCCCATGTCTGGAGGCTGACATCGCCAATGAACTTGTACTAGCTGCCCTCCTCTTTCTCTATTTATTCAGAATAAAACTCTTAATTACAGATGTATTACCTGACGCAGTAGAGGCAAATAACTCAAATATCATTGCCAAAAAGGGGGTGGATTAACAAAGTTATGTAAGAACTTATAAAGAAATTTGCTAGAGTCTTGTCACTTGCATTTTCAGAACCATCTTCTCTTAGCTGCTTGAAAATCCGAAATGGCCTTGGGGCCTCCTCTTGGAGTTGGCCTTTTCTTCGGCTTGTTTGTTTTTAAACCATTCTTCCAGAATATTGCATTAAGTCTCTTGGCCACATACTCCATTCAGATATCTGACTTACTGTTTTCTTCTGGCAGGGGTTGTTGCTTCACAGGTTTGGGAGACTTTCTGAGGGAGCAAACTTGGTCTCTGGTCTCCACTGAAGACATGCTGAAACGCGGGTATGCTTTAGATTCAAAGATGACATGGAAGCCACATTATGTTTCCAAGGCAAGATGCCTAAGACAAAATAAAATCAAGTCAAAATTAAGGAAAACAAACAAAAACTTAAGCCCAATCGTGCAGTATAAATTTCCACACAGATAACTCTGTAATTTCAGCTCTGTACTACACACACACACACACACACACACACACACACACACAGTTCACGTGGACTGCCTTTGATTTTTTATGATGGCCAGGACAGAAGACGGAATCAGAGCAAACACAATTTTCTCTGCATTATGCATTAGCACTC